CATCCCTATTGGCTGGTAGTTTTTTTCTCTTGTTCTCCACCTGGATTGTTCCAGATCACCTGTAGAAACAGCAGCCGACCGTCGTTGGGAGCACTGGTGGAACGTTTTCCTATCAGCTCGGGGCCCCTCGGGGCCCCAGACGGGCCCTCCTGCTGTTTAACCTTTGGTCCCGTCTGAGTGACTGAATCCCTGTTTCCTGGTGTTTCCTGCTCTGAAGTGAAGATCGTCTCATTAATGATCATTTAATAATCCAGACTGAAGGTGTTTGTTTATATAGCAAACCCCTGAAAATGGAGGGAAGTAAAAAATCCACAATGATAAACCCAAAATAAATCCTGATTTAGAAAACAAGAAAAGCCAGATTTATAAACCAGAACAAACCCTGATTTATGAACCAATATACACCTTAACTATGGATGATCTTTAACACCGTTTGATGTTGGAATGACGGAGGTTCACACCTGCAGTCGATAATTAAACTAAACCCAATGATCAATGGAAGCAGGTTTATCTGCAGCTGATTTCATTTCCTTTGTTAGACTGTTATAGATCTATAATAGACTGACTGCAGCAGGAGACGTATTAAAGCTGTTCATTATTAATGTCCATTTTAACTCTGTTTATTAATGTCTGGATTAAAGCACTGACCTCGTCCTGTTTGATGAACGGTCAGACGGCGAAGCTCTGTGGTTATCAGCCGCTAAGCATTCTGGGTATTCCAGCAGCATAGTTCAATCCTCCATGACTGACGGCGGCTCAGAGGGTTTGAAATGTTCCCTGAATTAGTTCCCTTTATTTATTGATCTGCAGTCGGACTGATGATCAGAGGAAACTGGGTTTTAGTGCCAGCAGAGGTCTCTGCGGTTTGGATCTGATCAAGTAGATCTAGGTTTAGAATTTCATATGAGGTGAAATTTAATCCCAGAGAGCTTCAGATCCCCTCAGTGTCTCCAGAACCTCTGGTTCCTTAGGGACAGAGCAGATTTGGAACGAGCCACCAAACATCTCCACTAGCTTTGTCTGAAACATTCAGGCTCTGGTTTAAACTTTTATAGAGGATTACTGTGGATGTACCAGAACCAACAGGTCCAATAGAACCACTAGCAGACCAGCCTCCTTTATTTCACAGAAGTAGAGCTCAGTCCCTAAATCCAGAGCCCAACCTGGAAGGTTTAAACCCAGACTCTACTGTTAGAGATAGAGCTGTTAGCATTATGACCCAATAACCTGATGACCCAATGACCTGATGACTGGATGACCCGATGACCTGATGACCTGATGACCCGATGACCTGATGATCGTGTCCTTCAGAACCAACCACCTGAAGGAGAACCCTCCCAAACCATGGATCCAGCTCCCTGAGAACTCCAGCAGGACTGTGGGTCTACCTGTTTCTATTGCCTCCTCCCCCTGTAGACCGAAGGCTGGGAGGAATCCCAGTATCTGATGGTACTGGGAGCAGCTGAGGCATGGTAGTCATTCAATATTTCCCCACTTTCCTTAGCTGTTCTTTTGCTGGTTCTTGGCTGTTCCTTGGCTGTTCTTGGCTGTTCCTTGGCTGGTTCTTGGCTGTTCCTTGGCTGTTCTTGGCTGGTTCTTGGCTGTTCCTTGGATGTTCTTGGCTGGTTCTTGGCTGTTCCTTGGCTGTTCTTTGGCTGGTTCTTGGCTGTTCCTTGGCTGTTCTTTTAGTGATTCTTGGCTGTTCCTTGGCTGTTCTTTTGCTGGTTCTTGGCTGTTCCTTGGCTGTTCTTGGCTGTTCCTTGGCTGTTCTTTTACTGATTCTTGGCTGTTCTTTTGCTGGTTCTTGGCTGTTTCTTGGCTGTTCCTTGGCTGTTCCTTGGCTGTTCTTTTACTGATTCTTGGCTGTTCCTTGGCTGTTCTTTTACTGATTCTTGGCTGTTCCTTGGCTGTTCTTTTGCTGGTTCTTGGCTGTTCCTTGGCTGTTCTTTTACTGATTCTTGGCTGTTCCTTGGCCGTTCCTTGGCTGGTTCTTGGCTGTTCCTTGGCTGTTCCTTGGCTGTTCTTGGCTGTTCCTTGGCTGTTCTTGGCTGTTCTTGGCTGGTTTCCTTAAATTACATTTTAAACATCAGTCTCTGTGCTAAAATTCTTTCTGTCATGATTTGTGGACATTAAGATCTAAAGAGAAATGCCATCTCCTGGTCAGAGCCTGTAGTTCAGTGAAAGGATGAAGTCAGAGTAAAAAAAAATATGCCAGAGGGGGTCACTCCATTGGCTGGAAGTTGGAGGGGTTTGGGCTGCCATTGGGCTGACTTTTGACTGGAAAGGTCCATTTTGAATGGCTGCTAGTGCATTAGCCTTGCTGCTGCTAGCTGTTAGCCTGTTAAGCGGGTGTACATGTTTTTTTCTGCCCTTTTCAGGCCAATTCTCCAGTCATGTGAGTTTTTTTCAATGGGGTCGACTTTCAGCCTGATGGTGCATGCTGTAATGTACAGGGGGTAACAAGGGGCACCTCCCCATCAGGAATCATGAGGTCGGGAGAAAATTAAACATGTTTGAAATTCAGTCGGCCGTCGTAAAGTGGTCGTGGACAAATCGCTCAGTGCACAAACAAGGATCCTTCTTCTTCTTCTTCCTCTCAGATGTAAACCCAGCAGCATGGCGGGGGGGCAATGAGTGAAATGGAGTTCTTTCTGTCAAACTGTCAGACCGTAGTAGCCACGTTAGCTCAGCCATGTCTTTGTCCAAATATGTCGTCTCCTTTTCTTTTTAGGGCTTTCAGCACTAAATTGCCCAAATATCCAAGGCAGCGCGTTTCACTCTAGTGAGCTTCATGTTCCTCTGCTACTCGTTTGGCTTCCAGATAGACGAGTCCGAGTAGCGCCATCTCACTGCGGAGCTGAGTCCCACCTTTTTTTTAGGCGTACAGTGTGAGCAGGTAGAAAGCATCAGAGCATCTGGTCACACAGCGGGAGAACAAACATGGTGAGCTGAGAACTCTAAACCCTGTGGTTTCATCGTACAGAGAGAGCTGTAGCTGCGTCCAATGATTGAAAATATCGTACAGTTTATACCCGACTTTATGCTCTGGGTCCAGATGGATGAGCTCTGACACCACTGAGTTTACTGGTTCAAACCTGTTTAACCCACTGCGCCCAGTTAGGCTGAAACCCTCATCCTACTGGTTCCTAGTTGGTACTGGTTTATAATGACTGGTAAACAATGTATGGTGGCAGCTCTGATCTGTAGATCAGTTGAGGGTTTTCAGAGAAGTTCCAGTCAGCTGCTAAATCCCTGAGAGCAGGAAGGCAGCGGGTGTAATCTGCTCAATGCGCTGCAGCTGCCTCTCCTCACGCCTCCATTCAGCCTGCTAATAGAATTACAGCTGTGTGTGAGCCAGCCGCCTCTGAGCTGCCAGGGGTCAGCTGTGATTGGCCCACAGGTGAGGGGGGCGGGAGGTTAACGAGGGGACCAAACGCCAGGACACGCACAGCAGCTGGGAGTGTTTGTCAGGGTGAGGAAGACTGCCTTCAGTTTACCTGCAGAGAAACACAAAGCCCTGATGCTCCCGTCCAGATCTCAACCAACCAGAACCGCTCCCACTTCTTGACTGGGCAGATGTTTGCAGCTGGCATTGATCCATGCAGGAAGCAGAAACAAGCCCTAATCAGTGGCAGAGGAACCCCAAACATTTCCATGAGAAAGAACTCATCAGAGCTTTTGTTCTTCATCACTCAGCTTCCCCCCACCCCCTCCTCCTCCTCCCCCTCCTCCCCCTCCACCCCCTCCTCCTCCCCCTCCTCCTCCTCCTCCTCCTCCTCTTCTGCCGTGATTAAACTTCTTGTTTTTCTAATCGATTCTCCTCAAGTGCCATCGATCTGCTGACACACACACACTGTGTCCCTCTATCATTGAGGGGACCTTCTCTTTCTATGGCGAACCCTGATCTCTGGGGGAGCACCCACTGGTTCCAATAAGGGAACCCAGTAATCGGCCCCCACTGGTTCCAATAAGGGAACCCAGTAATCGGCACCCACTGGTTCCAATAAGGGAACCCAGTAATCGGCACCCACTGGTTCCAATAAGGGAACCCAGTAATCGGCCCCCACTGGTTCCTAGAGGTCCGCAAAGTGTAGCGGATTCCTGGGAAATCGACCTAACGCGGTATCAAAAACATGGCTGACTCATGTGGCGGCGTCCGTTAAACTGATGGGATGGGGGGAACAGGCTGTTTGGGTCCTGCAGGACCGGTTCAGAACCTGCTCCATCCTGGACTGGAGCCACGCTGTAGAACCTGCAGGGGAACCAGTTCCCCGGTACGGAGCTTGTCTGTGATGGTGTTCTGGTTTGATCACTCAGCTGAGCTCGGGTCCAAACAGAACCTTCTTTAGCTTTTCCTGAAAACGGATCAGAACCGCTTCTTTAATTTGAAACCCCATCGTCTTCCAGCTGACTGACCAGATGAGGTTGATGGGGAACAGGACCGACAGCCCTGCCGCCACTCATCACCGCAGGCCGGGTGCTGTCTTCCTGTTGCCATGGAGACGCCCTTCAACCCACACTGAGTTTACAAAGTGGGAACAATTTTAATTTCACAGAAACTTTGTAGAAACAGACTTGAAGGAAGTGGAGGCAGCGAGCAAGGATGATTGACACCTGTAGTGAGGAAGAGGAGCCACGAGCGAACACTAATGAGGGCGTCCACGTGCACGTGCACACTCACACACAGAGCACAGCTTTTATTCTGAAGTCTTCCAATTAAAGCGTTCCACTTTGGACCAAACGAGCCGTTTGTGTCTGGGTACTGCTGATGAATTATTGATTTGGAGCCTTCTGGTGGTTTAACCTCCTCCTGTAGAGCTTTTATTCTGAAGGTCTTCACACTGAGCTTTTATTTTCACTGTTCACTAGAGACCTGAGTGAAAGCAGGACACCCTGTGGGGGAAACTGCTTCTCTGTAACAGTTCTGCAGCTGACTCTGGAAGACGTTGGTTATTGTGAAAGTCTACAGCTGTTAATTTTCCCTTTGTTGTGACCTGCAGGTTCGTCCTTCCTCTTCGTGAACACGTCCGGCCGCTACAGCGGTCAGTGTGCTCAGCTGCTGCTGCCGCCGCTCAGAGAGAACGACACACACTGCCTCAGCTTCCAGTTCTACCAGGTCGGGGGCCGAGAGGGGGCTGCACCCGCTACGCTCAATATCTACATCAAAGGTACGCTGGGTGGGAGGAGCCTTTAGAAGGGTGGGCGGAGCCATCAGGTGTGCTGACATTCTGTGTTTGGTCTGCAGAGAACAACAGCCCTCTGGGAATTCCTATCAGTAACTCATCTGGCCCCGCCTACCACATCTGGAAAGGGGTGGAGCTTGCCGTGTCCATTTTCTGGCCAAATTCCTACCAGGTAAAACACCCCGACACGCAACCTGCACATCAGCAGATCGTTTCCCACTGGTATTCTGTCAATCAGCCCAGGTCGGAAATCTGCCCATTTTCATTAGTCATAATCAGCTACAGCTGACCGGCTACCATCAGCCACAGCTGGCCGTGTCCGACCACGACCGGCTACCATCAGCCACAGCTGGCCGTGTCCGACCACGACCGGCTACCATCAGCCACAGCTGGCCGTGTCCGACCACGACCGGCTACCATCAGCCACAGCTGGCCGTGTCCGACCACGACCGGCTACCATCAGCCACAGCTGGCCGTGTCCGACCACGACCGGCTACCATCAGCCACAGCTGGCCGTGTCCGACCACGACCGGCTACCATCAGCCACAGCTGGCCGTGTCCGACCACGACCGGCTACCATCAGCCACAGCTGGCCGTGTCCGACCACGACCGGCTACCATCAGCCACAGCTGGCCGTGTCCGACCACGACCGGCTACCATCAGCCACAGCTGGCCGTGTCCGACCACGACCGGCTACCATCAGCCACAGCTGGCCGTGTCCGACCACGACCGGCTACCATCAGCCACAGCTGGCCGTGTCCGACCACGACCGGCTACCATCAGCCACAGCTGGCCGTGTCCGACCACGACCGGCTACCATCAGCCACAGCTGGCCGTGTCCGACCACGACCGGCTACCATCAGCTACAGCTGGCCGTGTCCGACCACGACCGGCTACCATCAGCTACAGCTGGCCGTGTCCGACCACGACCGGCTACCATCAGCTACAGCTGGCCGTGTCCGACCACGACCGGCTACCATCAGCTACAGCTGGACGTGTCCGACCACGACCGGCTACCATCAGCCACAGCTGGCCGTGTCCGACCACGACCGGCTACCATCAGCTACAGCTGGCCGTGTCCGACCACGACCGGCTACCATCAGCTACAGCTGGCCGTGTCCGACCACGACCGGCTACCATCAGCTACAGCTGGACGTGTCCGACCACGACCGGCTACCATCAGCTACAGCTGGCCGCGTCCGACCACGACCGGCTACTATCAGCTACAGCTGGCCATGACTGGCCGGTCATTACCAAGATGAGTCTTCTCTGAGCAGTTCTATCTTTCTCCCGTTTTTGGTCCAACAGGATTAGGGTTAGGCAGGACAGCGGGGGGTCAGAGCAGCTACCTGCTGGTTGGTGTCTGCACTGGAGGTAGAACCATGAAACTGTCCTTCTAGGGCTAAGCTAAAGCTGCTTCCCCAGCTTATCCTTTCAACATTATTTCCTCCATCTTTTGAGAAAGAAAAAGTCGTCTTCACTAAAACTGTTCAGTTCATCTCCTATAATTTGACACCTGATAATATGAACCGTCCTAATGAGAGAGCAGCGTAGCAATGGAGGGGTTTGATGCTGCAGGTGATCGGATCCCTGAACCCTGATGCCAAGCAGGTAAACTGGAGCTTCGCTCTGATTGGATGCTGCTTTCTAAACCTGACCGAAACCCCAACCTCAACCCAGATGTTCTGGTTCCCCCGACCCAACAGCACCACAGGTCCAAACCGCCCCCCCCCCGTAGAGAGCAGCTGAGGGTCTGAACCAGCTTTGAATCTCCTCGTGATGGAGGAACATCTGATGGTGAGCAGATGACCCCAACCTTTGGACCAACAGGTTTAAAGCGGGTCCTACAGAACCCTTGCTGACCGGATGGTACCGGTCCACAGCCCTTCAGCTCTCAGAAGCAGCTGACTCTGAGTCACCAGCCAATCACAGACTCTCTTGCAGGTGTTCAGAAGTGCCGCCCCATCATCACAGCATGGTACAGTAATTAGCTGCATCACCACGGCAACAACACATCCATCTCATTACTGAAGGAGCTAACGAGGGAGAGAGGTGGAGGAGAGGATGGAGAGAGGGAAGGAACGGGCAGGAGCGAAACAGGAAGTGGAGGAAAACAGATGGAGGGAGGAGCGCTTCCTGCTTCTGGGCGCCAACAGGAAGCATGAGACTGGTTTCCGTGACGATAAGACTGTGGAATGTGCACACGCTGCACAGGAGCGTTTGAAGCTGGAAACGCTTCCCAGAAAACCCTTCCAGCTGGCCCACCAATCACTGTCATCACAGGGTTTCCTGTTTGCTCTGCAGCTGCCTTCCAACTTCATTATAGGACATTATGGGACATGATGGGACATTAGTCCCACACATGGACAGGAGCCGCTCTCTGGGTTGTGGAATGGAACAGAACCTCCAAACCCAGATTTGACCTGAATGTCTGCAGCCAGACCAGGACTCAGCGTGGAGGTAGAAGGACTCAGTGTCCCCGGAAAGCTGGAAATGTTCCCCTGACATCAGAACACTTTCAGACTCTGATCTCCGTCTTTAAATGCAGCGTTTCTGAGCTTTGCCCTGATTTCTGTCTGCCAGGTTGTGTTTGAGGCGGTCAGCACCGGTCAGAGGGGAGTCCTGGCCATCAGAGACATCACTCTGCAGGGACATCAGTGCAGTAAGAGCTCACACACACACACACACACACACACACACACACACACACACACACACACACACACACACACAGAAAGCCCCACCCATTCAAGAGTAGGCCTCTAATTGGTTAACGAGGTTTGTCTGCTTAATTAAATAACAACTTTTAAAGTTGAGCTAGCATCTTAGAAACAAGGTCAAGCTGTGTGTGTGTGTGTGTGTGTGTGTGTGTGTGGGGGGGGGGGGGTAAGTGTGCAGGCTGGGGAGCTCATTAAGTATAAATTGATTAGCATGGACTTTGATCCATGCTTCTGTTTCTGTAGCTGCTGCTCGTCCAAAGAGCTACTGGGGGGCTGCCTCACAAACACACATCTATGTGTTGTAGTTCTTGCTTCCTGCTCCTTCAGACCAGCTGTGGAGGCTGTTTGTGACCCTTTGACCTCTGCCCCCTGTCCTCAGTGAGCACGCCGCATCCTCTGCACATCAAAGCCGTGGAGGTGAACGCGGGTCAGACGGCCACCTTTCAGTGCACGGTGAACGGGCAGCCGCAGGGGAACCCGCTGCTCTACCTGCAGGTGGTCACGCCCCCTCTGTTGCCAGGTAACAGCCCCGTTGGGTCGGTTTTTTCTGATCGTCTCTGGATCTCCCCGCAGGGCATGGGAGGTCGGCTGGCCGTCGCTAAGGAAACCAAAGTGGTGAACTCCCGCCGCTATGTGGCGGTCTTCGATGTCATGAACACCACCAAAGGGGATACTGGACGCTACCGCTGCATCGCCCAATCCGAGCGCGGAGTGGGCGTATCCTCCTACGCAGAACTGACGGTTAAACGTGAGTACTGGCCTCTGATTGGCTGCAGGACCTTCTGACCTGTGTGGATGAATGTTATGAAGCATGCAGGAGCTCCTCCCCCTCCAACTGGTTCAGACTGTGAGGCCCATAGGGGCCACGCTGTATGGGCCCCAGGGCCACACCCTGATCAGCTGACTGGCTGCTCTCTGAACGGCTGATCTTTGAACGGCTGATCTTTGAACAGCTGTTCTCTGAACGGCTGATCTTTGAACGGCTGCTCTGTGACCGGCTGTTCTCTGAACGGCTGATCTCTGACCGGCTGCTCTCTGACCAGCTGATCTCTGACTGGCTGCTCTCTGACCAGCTGATCTCTGACTGGCTGCTCTCTGACCAGCTGATCTCTGACTGGCTGCTCTCTGAACAGCTGATCTCTGACTGGCTGCTCTTTGAACGGCTGATCTTTGAACGGCTGATCTCTGAACGGCTGCTCTCTGAACAGCTGATCTCTGACTGGCTGCTCTCTGAACAGCTGATCTCTGACTGGCTGCTCTTTGAACGGCTGATCTTTGAACGGCTGATCTCTGACCGGCTGCTCTCTGACCAGCTGATCTCTGACTGGCTGCTCTCTGAACAGCTGATCTCTGACTGGCTGCTCTTTGAACGGCTGATCTTTGAACGGCTGATCTCTGAACGGCTGCTCTCTGAAAAGCTGATCTCTGACTGGCTGCTCTTTGAACGGCTGATCTTTGAACGGCTGCTCTTTGACTGGCTGATCTTTGACTGGCTGATCTTTGACTGGCTGATCTTTGACTGGCTGATCTTTGAACAGCTGATCTTTGAACGGCTGAACTTTGAAAGGCTGATCTCTGATCGGCTGATCTCTGACCGGCTACTCTCTGACCGACTACTCTCTGACCGACTGCTCTCTGACCGGCTGATCTTTGAACGGCTGATCTCTGATCGGCTGATCTCTGACCGGCTGACCGGCTGCTCTCTGACCGACTGCTCTCTGAATGGCTGCTCTCTGACCGGCTGCTCTCTGAACAGCTGTTCTTAGAACGGCTGCTCTCTGACCGGCTGCTCTCTGACTGGCTGATCTCTGACCGGCTGATCTTTGAACAGCTGATCTTTGAACAGCTGATCTTTGAACGGCTGATCTCTGATCGGCTGATCTCTGACCGGCTGACCGGCTGCTCTCTGACCGACTGCTCTCTGAATGGCTGCTCTCTGACCGGCTGATCTTTGACTGGCTGATCTTTGAACAGCTGATCTTTGAAAGGCTGATCTCTGAACAGCTGCTCTCTGAACGGCTGATCTCTGAACAGCTGATCTCTGATCGGCTGATCTCTGAATGGCTGTTCTTTGAACGGCTGATCTCTGACTGGCTGATCTCTGACCGGCTGATCTCTGAACGGCTGCTCTCTGACCGGCTGCTCTCTGACCGGCTAATCTCTGACCGGCTGCTCTCTGACTGGCTGATCTCTGAACGGCTGCTCTCTGAACAGCTGTTCTTTGAACGGCTGCTCTCTGACCGACTGCTCTCTGAACAGCTGTTCTTTGAACGGCTGATCTCTGAACGGCTGCTCTCTGAACAGCTGTTCTTTGAACGGCTGCTCTCTGACCGGCTAATCTCTGACCGGCTGCTCTCTGACTGGCTGATCTCTGAACGGCTGCTCTCTGAACAGCTGTTCTTTGAACGGCTGCTCTCTGACCGGCTGCTCTCTGACCGGCTGCTCTCTGACCGACTGCTCTCTGAATGGCTGCTCTCTGACCGGCTGCTCTCTGACCGGCTGATCTCTGACCGGCTGCTCTCTGAATGGCTGCTCTCTGACCGGCTGATCTCTGACCGGCTGCTCTCTGACCGACTGCTCTCTGAATGGCTGCTCTCTGACCGGCTGCTCTCTGACCGGCTGATCTCTGACCGGCTGCTCTCTGACTGGCTGATCTCTGACCGGCTGCTCTCTGACCGGCTGCTCTCTGACCGACTGCTCTCTGACTGGCTGCTCTCTGACCGGCTGCTCTCTGACCGGCTGCTCTCTGACCGACTGCTCTCTGAATGGCTGCTCTCTGACCGGCTGATCTCTGACCGGCTAATCTCTGACCGGCTGCTCTCTGAATGGCTGCTCTCTGACCGGCTGATCTCTGACCGGCTGCTCTCTGACCGACTGCTCTCTGAATGGCTGCTCTCTGACCGGCTGCTCTCTGACCGGCTGATCTCTGACCGGCTGCTCTCTGACTGGCTGATCTCTGACCGGCTGCTCTCTGACCGGCTGCTCTTTGAACGGCTGCTCTCTGACCGGCTGATCTCTTACCGGCTGCTCTCTGACCGGCTGATCTCTGACCGGCTGATCTTTGAACGGCTGATCTTTGAACGGCTGATCTCTGACCGGCTGCTCTGTGACCGGCCGCTCTCTGACCGGCTGCTCTCTGACCGGCTGCTCTGTGACTGGCCGCTCTCTGACCGGCTGCTCTCTGACCGGCTGCTCTGTGACCGGCCGCTCTCTGACCGGCTGCTCTCTGACCGACTGCTCTCTGAATGGCTGCTCTCTGACCGGCTGCTCTCTGACCGGCTGCTCTTTGAACGGCTGCTCTCTGACCGGCTGCTCTGTGACCGGCTGCTCTGTGACCGGCTGCTCTCTGACCGGCTGCTCTCTGACCGGCTGATCTCTGACCGGCTGATCTTTGAACGGCTGATCTTTGAACGGCTGATCTCTGACCGGCTGCTCTCTGACCGGCTGCTCTTTGAACGGCTGCTCTCTGACCGGCTGCTCTCTGACCGGCTGCTCTTTGAACGGCTGATCTCTGACCCGCTGCTCTTTGAACGGCTGCTCTCTGACCGGCTGCTCTGTGACCGGCTGCTCTGTGACCGGCCTATCTCTGACCGGCCTATCTCTGACCGGCTGCTCTCTGACCGGCTGCTCTCTGACCGGCTGCTCTCTGACTGCTCTGACCCTCCTAGTCTCTCAGGGGAACCAGGGATCTATAACAGATCTTTAGATGGTTGTCCCTCCCCTCCCTTCAGTCAGGTGGAGACATGTGACTCCACCCCCTGGGTTAACTCCACCCATGCAGGCAGATCTCTCCTGAACACGGTAAACACTCCTCATTACCCATGTTTAGTGTGTGTGTGGATGGGGGAGATGAACTGGGTCAGAGGAAGTGGAGCAGCTCCTCTGAGGATTCTGGGTAATAGAATTCAGGTCTGCTGTGATTTGCCGAAGGTCACGAATATTAATTAACTTGTTAGCCTCTTCTCCCCTCGTTAAAAGACCAGTGAGACCCTCAGGTGGTGCGTGAGGAAATGTCAGACTGATCCTGGTTCTTTTGGTCTCTCAGAACCCCCCGTACCCATTGCTCCACCGCAGCTTACTGCAGTCGGCGCCACCTACCTTTGGATCAAGCTTAACGCCAACTCCATCAATGGAGACGGACCCATCATCGATAGAGAGGTGAGTCCAGGTCCGGTACGGACCAGAACCAAACTGCTAGTTCTGGTGGTTCTACTTGACCAGCTGTCTGCCACCCTCAGAACCAGAATTTTGACAGAATATTGACTAGTGAAGGACCATTAATGGATGCCTAGATTTCTTTTCAAAGAACCAGAGTTTATCTTTTTGATCCTACGATCTCTTAACGTTAGAGAGCGATGACCAGCCGACGCCTCGAAGCCAAACGATCTTCTACCGTTAGAGAGCGATGACCAGCCGACGCCTCGAAGCCAAACGATCTTCTACCGTTAGAGAGCGATGACCAGCCGACGCCTCGAAGCCAAACGATCTTCTACCGTTAGAGAGCGATGACCAGCCGACGCCTCGACGCCAAACGATCTTCTACCATTAGAGAGCGGTGACCAGCCGACGCCAAACGATCTTCTACCGTTAGAGAGCGATGACCAGCCGACGCCTCGACGCCAAACGATCTTCTACCATTAGAGAGCGGTGACCAGCCGACGCCAAACGATCTTCTACCGTTAGAGAGCGATGACCAGCCGACGCCTGGACGCCAAACGATCTTCTACCATTAGAGAGCGATGACCAGCCGACGCCTCGACGCCAAACGATCTTCTACCGTTAGAGAGCGATGACCAGCCGACGCCTCGACGCCAAACGATCTTCTACCGTTAGAGAGCGATGACCAGCCGACGCCTCGACGCCAAACGATCTTCTACCGTTAGAGAGCGATGACCAGCCGACGCCTCGACGCCAAACGATCTTCTACCGTTAGAGAGCGATGACCGGCCAACGCCTCGACGCCAAACGATCTTCTACCGTTAGAGAGCGATGACCAGCCGACGCCTCGACGCCAAACGATCTTCTACCGTTAGAGAGCAATGACCAGCCGACGCCTCGACGCCAAACGATCTTCTACCATTAGAGAGCGATGACCAGCCGACGCCTCGACGCCAAACGATCTTCTACCGTTAGAGAGCGATGACCAGCAGACGCCTCGACGCCAAACGATCTTCTACCGTTAGAGAGCGATGACCAGCCGACGCCTCGACGCCAAACGATCTTCTACCGTTAGAGAGCGATGACCGGCCAACGCCTCGACGCCAAACGATCTTCTACCGTTAGAGAGCGATGACCAGCCGACGCCTCGACGCCAAACGATCTTCTACCGTTAGAGAGCGATGACCAGCCGACGCCTCGACGCCAAACGATCTTCTACCATTAGAGAGCGATGACCAGCCGACGCCAAACGATCTTCTACCATTAGAGAGCGATGACCAGCCGACGCCAAACGATCTTCTACCGTTAGAGAGCGATGACCAGCCGACGCCTCGAAGCCAAACGATCTTCTACCGTTAGAGAGCGATGACCAGCCGACGCCTCGACGCCAAACGATCTTCTACCATTAGAGAGCGATGACCAGCCGACGCCAAACGATCTTCTACCATTAGAGAGCGGTGACCAGCCGACGCCTCGACGGCAAACGATCTTCTACCGTTAGAGAGCGGTGACCAGCCAACGCCTCGACGCCAAACGATCTTCTACCATTAGAGAGCGATGACCAGCCGACGCCAAACGATCTTCTACCATTAGAGAGCGGTGACCAGCCGACGCCTCGACGGCAAACGATCTTCTACCGTTAGAGAGCGATGACCAGCCGACGCCTCGACGCCAAACGATCTTCTACCGTTAGAGAGCGATGACCAGCCGACGCCTCGACGCTAAACGATCTTCTACCATTAGAGAGCGGTGACCAGCCGACGCCTCGACGCCAAACGATCTTTTACCGTTAGAGAGCGGTGACCAGCCGACGCCTCGACGCTAAACGATCTTCTACCATTAGAGAGCGGTGACCAGCCGACGCCTCGACGCCAAACGATCTTCTACTGTTAGAGAGCGATGACCAGCCGACGCCTCGACGCCAAACGATCTTTTACCATTAGAGAGCAGTGACCAGCCGACGCCTCGACGCCAAACGATCTTCTACCATTAGAGAGCGATGACCAGCCGACGCCTCGACGCCAAACGATCTTCTACCGTTAGAGAGCGATGACCAGCCGACGCCTCGACGCCAAACGATCTTCTACCATTAGAGAGCGATGACCAGCCGACGCCTCGACGCCAAACGATCTTCTACCATTAGAGAGCGATGACCAGCCGACGCCTCGGCGCCAAACGATCTTCTACCGTTAGAGAGCGATGACCAGCCGACGCCAAACGATCTTCTACCGTTAGAGAGCGATGACCGGCCGACGCCTCGACGCCAAACGATCTTCTACCATTAGAGGGCGATGACCAGCCGACGCCTCGAAGCCAAACGATCTTCTACCATTAGAGAGCGATGACCAGCCGACGCCTCGACGCCAAACGATCTTCTACCATTAGAGAGCGATGACCAGCCGACGCCTCGACGCCAAACGATCTTCTACCATTAGAGAGCGATGACCAGCCGACGCCTCGACGCCAAACGATCTTCTACCATTAGAGAGCGATGACCAGCCGACGCCTCGACGCCAAACGATCTTCTACCATTAGAGAGCGATGACCAGCCGACGCCTCGACGCCAAACGATCTTCTACCGTTAGAGAGCGATGACCAGCCGACGCCTCGACGCTAAACGATCTTCTACCATTAGAGAGCGGTGACCAGCCGACGCCTCGACGCCAAACGATCTTCTACCATTAGAGAGCAGTGACCAGCCGACGCCTCGACGCCAAACGATCTTCTACCGTTAGAGAGCGGTGACCAGCCGATGCCTCGATGCCAAACGATCTTCTACCATTAGAGAGCGATTACCAGCCGACGCCAAACGATCTTCTACCGTTACAGAACCGACTCGTCAGCTGTTCAAAGTTCGCTGATGGTTGCCGCGCTACCAGAACAGTAACGGTTCTACTGGAGTCTTTCTATTTGATGAAGAGTCATCAGGAGTGTTTTTTATTTCTACATTCACTTTGTCACCTTTGGGCTCTGGGTCGGTTCTGGATCCAGGTGGAGTACCGCACCATGTCCGGCATGCTGATCGACACCACGCCTGTGGATAAGCCGGACCATAAGATCGGACACCTCGACCCAGACACAGAGTACGAGATCAGCGTCCTGCTGACCCGGCCCCTGGAAGGAGGGACGGGAAACCCCGGGCCGCCCCTCAGAGCCAAAACCAAGTGCGCAGGTGAGTGGACCGGTGGCAGTTCCTGCCGACAGATGGTTCCTGGTCTCTTCAGGAGCCATTAATGCTAAGCTGTGCTAGCTCACCAGGAGGCTAATAGCTAGCAGGGAGCTCATTAAGGCAGCCTGCTGCGTTAGCGCAGTGCTCATTAGCCCCCCCAACACACACACATTCAGTGTGCAAACAGCAAACACGATGTGATTAGCAATCAGCGGCTAATTAAGCAGGTGCAGCAGCAGCAGAACTCTGGAGGATTCAGTCTGATTGATGACCAACCGGTTCTGTTTGGACCCAACTGTTGGAGGTTTCCTCATCTGTCAGTAAAAACACACGCAGCGCTGCCCCCATCTGAAATATTCAACAGCATCAATAAAACATATTTACAGAACATTAAAAATGCATTTAGAGCAAAAGATGTTTATGGACCAATTACTCTGACCCGCCGGGCCTGACAGAACCTCTGGATCCATGTTCTGCTCACTTCCTTTGTTCTTTCTCTGTCACTGGATCCGGAGGTTCTGCCCAATCAGAACCATTTTATCCTGGTTCAGAATGTTTGGGTTCTCCAGGTGTTTGGATGTCATTCCTCAGAAGGCGCCATCAGGTTTGGACCCGTCTGGACCTGCTGCCATACGCTCCAATAAACCCAACAGCTTCTAACCCGCCCGCATGGATCCAGCTTCCAGCACAGAACCAGAACCTTCTGGACCATCTACTACGGTTCCTCAGATGGTTGTAGTTCTACAGGTTCTGATCCTTCATCCGTCTGAGATGATAAAAACAAGCAGAATGAGTGTTTCTGATCCACCCGATCCGGTCGGTTCCGATAGAACCCGAGTAGAACCCAGACAGACGAGGAAACAACATCTGCTGTTCTGCTGACAGCAAATACAGAAATAAAGACCAAGAATATAAAATATGTCCAAACGTTACACCTAATGAAATTATAAAAATCTATCAAATATGTAGTTGATCGTTAAATATGATGAATTAAAGGAAAGTCTTCATTAATTAAATTATTACATTAATTTTTATTTAGGCTAAAATATTTGGAAACCCCTGAAATAAATAAAACTGCCAAAAAATTAAATTTATCCTTCTTTGAATTTATGATCATTTATTTACCAACATGTGAAATGTTCTATTAAACATTTAATTAATTAAATTATTAAAACTTATAAATCATTTGAAAGGAACTTTGTTGTATAAAACGTTGGTTTCTCTGTGACGACTCTAGTCTGTTTGGTTGCTTCTGTGTCACAGGTTGAAATGTTCTGGAAGCCCGGCTCTAGAACACTTGGACCTGATGGTTATGAACCTGATCGAGGATCCAGATTCAGATGGTTATGAACCTTATCCAGGATCTAGATTCAGATGGTTATGAACCTTATCCAGGATCTAGATTCAGACGGTTATGAACCTGATCCAGGATCTAGATTCAGACGGTTATGAACCTGATCCAGGATCTAGATTCAGATGGTTATGAACCTTATCCAGGATCTAGATTCAGACGGTTATGAACCTGATCCAGGATCCAAATTCAGATGGTTCTGAACCTGATCCAGGATCCAGATTCAGACGGTTATGAACCTGATCCAGGATCCAAATTCAGATGGTTCTGAACCTGATCCAGGATCCAGATTCAGATGGTTCTGAACCTGATCCAGGATCTAGATTCAGACGGTTCTGAACCAGTTCCGAGATCCAAATTCAGACGGTTCTGAACCTGACCCGGGATCCAGATTCAGACGGTTCTGACCCAGTTCCGAGATCTAGATTCAGACGGTTCTGAACCTGATCCAAGATCCAAATTCAGACGGTTCTGAACCTGACCCGGTATCCAGATTCAGACGGTTCTGACCCAGTTCCAAGATCCAGATTCAGACGGTTCTGAACCAGTTCCAAGATCTAGATTCAGACTGTTCTGAACCTGATCCGGGATCCAGTTTCAGACGGTTCTGAACCTGATCCAGGATCCAGATTCAGACGGTTCTGAACCTGATCCAAGATCTAGATTCAAACGGTTATGAACCTGATCCAGGATCCAGATTCAGACAAGTTTGAAAGGATCCATGTTGTGGTTCTGATTGGGTCAACAGCTGGAGGTCAGAACGGTTCTGGATCTGAGCCCAGTTCTGCTGTAAGGGAGCCTGCAGAGGAGTTCTGCTCAGACCATGGGGGGGGTTGGTGTCCAGAACCGGGGGGTCTGGGTGGCTGTTAACATCCATTAAAGGCTGAGCGGCGGTTTGTCTGCAGCCTCTCAGGGAAACAGCATCAATATTTCACTTCTTTCTCTGCGGATCTTTTTCCACCTCAGATTTTCACGCTCTGCTCGCCTCTCAGACGTTTTAGAGCTTTTACCGAACCGTCTGTATTTTTATCGTCGCTGGGAGGCGAGCTGAAACTCGGAGATCTCTCCGTCTCTCCTATTATATCCGCTGATCTCCTGGAAATGAAAACCTAAGCCGCTCTTCCTCCTCCTCCTCTTCCTCGTCTTCATCCCAGTCACCTTCAAACGTTTCCCTCTCCTCTTCGTTGGCCCTGGTTCTGGTGTCAGTGGATGGGTTCTGAGAGTTTCAGGGCCCGGTTTAGATGAGTCCAAATGCGCCGCTGATGTTCATCCCCTAGTGGTCAGGCGTGTCATTGCAGGCAGACACTCCATCAAACCTGGAGCTCAGTAATGGAAACCAGCCAGTCCAAGAACCCGGCACCGCTCCATTCTGGGCAGAACCAGAACTCCTCTCCTGTGGTTTTCCTTCTTCCAGATTCTTCTTCTGTGTTTAGTTCACAGGGATTTCAGGACCCTGCAGATCCTTCAGTCCGACATGCAGCGTCACGTGGCTTTGACTCATCCCACCCGAGCAGCTCTCAGTCAGCATCTAAAGGAACCTTTAGCCCTGATGGTTGAACACTGGTTGCTAGGGTTCCTGTTGGTTCTAATGGTCCGGTCCTCCATTCGGTCATCACTGGGTCAGCACCTTGAAGCAGGGGGGCGGTCCTACAAGGCTCCGTCCCCCTGGGCTGGAGGGCGGCTGGGATCCCAACAGAACCTTCGGATCGAAGAGTTCAGGCATCCTAATTCAGATCAGTCCTTCCTGCTTTCTACCTACAACAATTTAACAACTGGATCAGAACCAGGACTGAACGGAACTGGATCAGAACCAGGACTGAATGGAACTGGATCAGAACCAGGAATGAATAGAACTGGATCAGAACCAGGCCTGAATTGAACTGGATCAGAACCAGGACTGAATGGAACTGGATCAGAACCAGGAATGAATAGAACTGGATCAGAACCAGGCCTGAATTGAACTGGATCGGAACCAGGCCTGAACTGAACTGGATCAGAACCAGGTCTGAACAGAGCTGGATCAGAACCAGGCCTGAACTGAACTGAATCAGAACCAGGAATGAATAGAACTGGATCAGAACCAGGTCTGAATGGATCTGGATCAGAACCAGGTCTGAACAGAGCTGGATCAGAACCAGGCCTGAATTGAACTGGATCGGAACCAGGCCTGAATCGAATTGGATCAGAACCAGGCCTGAACTGAACTGGATCAGAACCAGGAATAAATAGAACTGGATCAGAACCAGGTCTGAACAGAGCTGGATCAGAACCAGGCCTGAACTGAACTGGATCGAAACCAGGCCTGAATTTAACTGGATCAGAACCAGGCCTGAATTGAACTGTATCAGAACCAGGCCTGAATCGAACTGGATCAGTACCAGGTTTGAACAGAGCTGGATCAGAACCAGGACTGAATGGAACTGGATCAGAACCAGGTTTGAATTGAACTGGATCAGAACCAGGTTTGAACAGAGCTGGATCAGAACCAGGACTGAATTGAACTGGATCAGAACCAGGCCTGAATCGAACTGGATCAGTACCAGGTTTGAACAGAGCTGGATCAGAACCAGGACTGAATGGAACTGGATCAGAACCAGGTTTAAACAGAGCTGGATCAGAACCAGGCCTCAATCGAACTGGATCAGAACCAGGACTGAATGGAACTGGATCAGAACCAGGTCTGAAGGGAATTAGATCAGAACCAGGACTGAATGGAACTGGATCAGAACCAGGCCTCAATCGAACTGGATCAGAACTAGGTCTAAATTGAACTGGATCAGAACCAGGTCTGAATCGAACTGGATCAGAACCAGGTCTATATGGAGCTGGATAAGAACCAGGTGTGAATAGAGCTGGATAAGAACCAAGACTGAATGAAATTAGATCAGAACCAGGTCTGAGCGGAGCTGGGTCAGAACCAGGACTGAATGGAACTGGATCAGAACCAGGTCTGAATGGATCTGGATCAGAACCAGGTCTGAATGGAACTGGATCAGAAGAAGGACTGAATGGAACTGGATCAGAACCAAGTCTGAATCGAACTGGATCAGAACCAGGTCTGAATAGAACTGGATCAGAACCAGGACTGACTGGAACTGGATCAGAACCAGGTCTGAATGGAACTGGATCAGAGCCAGGTCTGAATCAAACTGGATCAGAACAAGGACTGAACGGAACTGGATCAGAACCAGGTTTGAACGGAATTGGATCGGAAACCAGGTTTGAATTGAACTGGATAAGAACCAGGCCTGAATCGAACTGGATCAGAACCAGGACTGAATGGAACTGGATCAGAACCAGGTCTGAATAGAACTGGATCAGAACCAGGACTGACTGGAACTGGATCAGAACCAGGTTTGAATTGAACTGGATCAGAACCAGGCCTGAATCGAACTGGATCAGAACTAGGACTGAATGGAACTGGATCAGAACCAGGTCTGAATCAAACTGGATCAGAACCAGGACTGAATGGAACTGGATCAGAACCAGGTTTGAACGGAACTGGATCGGAAACCAGGTCTGAACAGAGCTTGATCAGAACCAGGCCTGAATGGAACTGGATCAGAACCAGGTCTGGATGGAACTGGATCAGAACCAGGTCTGAACAGAGCTGGATCAGAACCAGGTCTGGATGGTACTGGATCAGAACCAGGTCTGGATTGAGCTGGATCAGAACCAGGTCTGGATTGAGCTGGATCAGAATCAGGTCTGGATGGAACTGGATCAGAACCAGGATCAGAGTGATCTGTTCCAGGTTCATTAAGATCATTAATCCTATAGTTAGAAAATGATCCTGCTTCTCTGGTCCTTCCTTCCAGCAAGATGGTGGCTGTTGGCAACTGAAGCAGACCGCAGGGGGCGCTGCCACTGGCTCATCCATCAGCAGAGGGTTAGAAGGAAATGTTGGAGGAGATTTGTGAAAGCCAGGGGTGGAAATATCAAAGCCAGCAGGCGTTGTGTGTGTGGGTGAAATCTGTTTCAATCAGTCAGGGCGGCGTTGGCTGAAAAGGTCAGACAGCAGCTGCAGAGCAGGGAGGCTTATACAGCAGCAAGACGTCACATCTGAGCTGAACTCAGAGGAAGGAGAGGAAGGAGGCACAGTGAACTCCCAGGAGGTTTCTGCTCAACAATCAGGAGACCAAACCTGCTGCAGGAACCAAAGGCCTCTCCTCCACCTGGACCCACCCACAGCGGCTCCGCTCAGTTGGACCCTCTGCTCTGTGATGTAGAACCAGAACTGTTCTGGTTTCTGCTCGATGGAGTTCATGTTGAGGCTAAACAGTTGTTATCCATTAGCTAGCATTAGCATCAGGTGGTCACATTATGGACCAATGAAGCCCAGCAGAACTCCCACCCCTTTCACAAGCTCCTGGTCACAGTGGAGAGAAACAGTTCTCTGAATGGACAGAACCTCTGGCTGAACAGAACCAGGGTCCATAGGTCTGAGAGAAACTCGTCTGGCCCGACAGCAACGCCTGCTCAGAACTAAAGTCCAGCACTGAACTGATTCTGACAAGTTAGAGCTGGTTTAAACTGGTTAGAACTGGTTTTAACTGATTTGAACTGGTTTTAACTGGTTAGAACCTGTTCTGACGTATAATCAGTGTCCATTACAGACACATCCATCCCCCAGGGACATGTCCATCCCACAAAGACGTGTCCATCCCCCCGGGACATGTCCTTTCCACAAAGACACATCCATCCCCCAGGGACATGTCCATCCCACAAAGACGTGTCCATCCCCTAGGGACATGTCCATACCACAAAGACGTGTCCATCCCCCCGGGACATGTCATTCCCACAAAGGCGCGTCCATCCCCCAGGGACATGTCCATACCACAAAGACGTGTCCATCCCCCAGGGACATGTCCATACCACAAAGACGTGTCCATCCCCCAGGGACATGTCCTCTCCACAAAGGCGCGTCCATCCCCCAGGGACATGTCCTCTCCACAAAGACGCGTCCATCCCCCAGGGACATGTCCATACCACAAAGACGTGTCCATCCCCCCGGGACATGTCCATCCCACAAAGGCGCGTCCATCCCCTAGGGACATGTCCATACCACAAAGACGTGTCCATCCCCCGGGACATGTCCATCCCTCAAAGGCACGTCCATCCCCCAGGGACATGTCCTTCCCGCAAAGACGCGTCCATCCCCCAGGGACATGTCCATACCACAAAGACGTGTCCATCCCCCAGGGACATGTCCTCTCCACAAAGGCGCGTCCATCCCCCAGGGACATGTCCTCTCCACAAAGACGCGTCCATCCCCCAGGGACATGTCCATACCACAAAGACGTGTCCATCCCCCCGGGACATGTCCATCCCACAAAGGCGTGTCCATCCCCCAGGGACATGTCCATACCACAAAGGCGCGTCCATCCCCCAGGGACATGTCCATACCACAAAGACGTGTCCATCCCCCAGGGACATGTCCATACCACAAAGGCGCGTCCATCCCCCAGGGACATGTCCATCCACAGCCTAGTGTCTTCCACTCACTCAGAGAAATATCTTCTTTGAGGAATTGAAGGATTTTATGTGATGGATTTCTCTTTCCCCCAGGGGATTATGGGTAATAGGATCCACCTCAGTCCCTTCTCCTCCCTTGAACCCCAACCCCGATTGTTGCCGCGGTGATATCAGTGTGTGTCGGTGTGTGTGTTCCGATGTTGTAGATCTCTGTCTCTTTCATCAAACAATCCAGGAGCAGAAAGTAGCAAGTGCTGCTATTGTGCTCCGCTAAAAGCAGTGTGTGTGTGAATAACAGGAAATGTGTGTGCCATCGACCACACAGATGAAAGACGAGAGCGAACAGGCAGAGTATTGTTCTGCACAAACACCTGACCCCCCCCCCCTCCTTACCCCACATCCCACCCCAGTGAGGCGGTTTCTGTCAAGACAAATTGCTTCATGCTGCTTTCATCCATCATTCTCCCTCTGAGTGGATCTCTGTCTGTCATCTAGAAATACAGAAAATCTCCACTTAGATTGGCCACTCTGTGTGAGAGTCTGAGCTGAATTACATCTTCTCCTGGAACTCATTATAATAGATTTATTTCACAGGAACCCGATTAGCTGAGCAGCAGTTCAACGTGCTGCACGTAAAACACCTGATGAAGTTCATCACATGAGGGAAGAATCTGCGATTAAACGCGGAGACCGACCGATGTTCACATGTGGTTCTTTCTATCTGTCAGACCCAATGCACGGCCCGCGGCGGCTCCAGGTCAGCGACGTTCAGTCCAAACAGGTGACGGTTCGGTGGGAACCGTTTGGATATAATGTAACGCGCTGCCACAGCTACAACCTGACGGTGCAGTACCGCTACCGACCTGCAGGCGCCACCAGCAGGTAAGCAAACGGAAGGAAAGAGAACATAATTATCCTTTTCCACGAAGATACTGATGTTAAGTATGGAAATGTTAGCAGCACCCGGGGCTAGAATGATAGCAGGGGGCGGGGCTACAATTTGAGCAGAGGGCGGGGCTAGTACGTTGGTAGAGGGTGGAACTGAAATGTTGGAAGGCGGGGCTAAAATGTTAACAGTTTCCACACTGGATGGGGTCCTGAGGTAATCCATCTCTTCTTCAGGGAGGAGCAGGTGAGGGAGGAGGTGGTGTACGACACCCTCAGCCCGCTGCCGCAGCACACCGTCCGTAACCTTCCACCGTACACCAACGTCAGCCTGAAACTGGTTCTGAGTAACCCAGAGGGATGTAAGGAGAGCGCGGAGCTGCTGGTGCTGACGGATGAGGACGGTATGGTTTAGGTTAGCGTTGGTTTCTGTGTCTGTGCTGCTAAATCACTCTAAACCTTCTGCTTCCAGTTCCTGGAGGCGTTCCGTTGGACTCCATCCTTGGTCGCAGCTATGAGCAGCAGATTAGTCTGAGCTGGAGGGAACCTCTCAACACTTATGGCCTGATCCGGCAGTACGAGGTGAGGCAATCGCTAAGGATTATGGGTAGTGTATCGCTGCTGCTTATTGTGACCATTCAGATTTAATGAGAGAAGGAAGTCTTCCTGTGAAATTGACTCCATTACCCACAACCCCCTGGGAGATGTTTGATTCTCTTCTCCTCCACAGATTTCCTACAAAGCTCTGAGCTCCTTTGACACGGAGTTTGACCTGTCCAATCAGAGCGGGAAGGTGTTCAAACCAGCCAATGAGACCAGCCATGTGTTTTCTGGCCTCTCACCTGGATCCACCTACTCCTTCACAATAAAAGCCTCAACCATTAAAGGCTTCGGGCCCCCAGTCATCACCCAGTTCACCACTAAGATCTCAGGTAAGACCCAGGCCCAAAGATGAAGGGTGGGCAGCGACAGGAACCGTGGGACAGGTATGTTTAATGGAGGCAAGAACTGAACCATTGGGACCCTCCAGAACCTCGTTCTGGATCACAGAAACCAGGAGGTCCACAGCAACCAGGAGGTCCACAGCAACCAGGAGGTCCACAGCATTCCTTAGCCCTGGCTGCTGCAGACGGGCTAAAGTAAGCACTGGCTGCTGCAGACGGGCTAAAGTTAGCTCTGGCCGCTGCAGTCGGGCTAACGTTAGCCCCGGCCGCTGCAGACGGGCTAACGATAGCCCCGGCCGCTGCAGACGGGCTAACGATAGCCCGGCCGCTGCAGACGGGCTAACGATAGCCCCGGCCGCTGCAGACGGGCTAATATTAGCACTGGCTCCTGCAGACGGGCTAATGTTAGCACTGGCTGCTGCAGACGGGCTAATGTTAGCACTGGCTGCTGCAGACGGGCTAACGTTAGCCCTGGCCGCTGCAGACGGGCTAACGTTAGCCCTGGCCGCTGCAGACGGGCTAACGTTAGCCCTGGCCGCTGCAGACGGGCTAACGTTAGCCCTGGCCGCTGCAGACGGGCTAACGTTAGCCCTGGCCGCTGCAGACGGGCTCACGATAGCCCCGGCCGCTGCAGACGGGCTCACGATAGCCCCGGCCGCTGCAGACGGGCTAACGATAGCCCTGGCCGCTGCAGACGGGCTAACGATAGCCCCGGCCGCTGCAGACGGGCTAACGATAGCCCCGGCCGCTGCAGACGGGCTAACGTTAGCCCCGGCCGCTGCAGACGGGCTCACGATAGCCCTGGCCGCTGCAGACGGGCTAACGATAGCCCCGGCCGCTGCAGACGGGCTAACGATAGCCCCGGCCGCTGCAGACGGGCTAACGATAGCCCCGGCCGCTGCAGACGGGCTAACGATAGCCCCGGCCGCTGCAGACGGGCTAACGTTAGCCCCGGCCGCTGCAGACGGGCTCACGATAGCCCTGGCCGCTGCAGACGGGCTAACGATAGCCCCGGCCGCTGCAGACGGGCTAACGATAGCCCCGGCCGCTGCAGACGGGCTAACGATAGCCCCGGCCGCTGCAGACGGGCTAACGATAGCCCCGGCCGCTGCAGACGGGCTAACGATAGCCCCGGCCGCTGCAGACGGGCTAACGATAGCCTCGGCCGCTGCAGACGGGCTAACGATAGCCCTGGCTAACGATGACGTTTCCTGAGCAGACGTAGTGAGAAATGGCCTGTGTTTCTATGACGATCCAGACTGGTTCTCAGGGTTTCTAACATTTTACTGTTCTCCTCCACTGTCTCTACCTGCAGTGACCAGGAGCCTGCAGAGAACCTTTTCTTAGGTTAGTGAGAGAAACTAGGCCGACTGAGTGAATCACATCCATTTCCTTTATTTAACTGGATCACAGAGTTTCAAAGCTTTTTACCAGAACCAGTTTGCTCCCAGTTTGGTCCAGTGTTCAGAGACGATCTATAGGGAACCAAACGACTCGTCCCGTTCAGGTCCGGAATGGACCGAGCCACGGCGCCCCCTTCCTGCTGTGGCTGGAGGTGGAGCTGTTGAAGGAGGTAACCTTGTTTTCTGCCCCCCAGCTCCTCTGATGCCAGCCTACGATCAGGAGTCGCCCCTGAACCAGACCGACTCCTCCGTCACGGTTCTGCTGAGGCCCGCCCAGAGCCGCGGCGCCCCCGTCAGGTAAGATCAGGCGCCACCAGCAACACTTTGAAGTAAAGTTTGACAGCCATCGAGGGAGGCGGTATCCTCGGTAACAGTCATCATGTCGACAGCTGTCGGGCTCCGGAGCCGCGCGTTAACGAGGGATTTGGTTAATGAAGGAGCAGCAGGCGGGGCTGATTGGAGCGTGCCGCTAACAAGGAGGATTAACCGGGGATTAGCCGACCCGCCGATGGTCGACGATGCGTCCGTCCTGACCGCCAGGGCCCGTCACCACCACCAACATCCACAGAGCTGGAGAAACACGGCTGCTGGGCGTCTGTTTCCCTTCACAGCCTGTATGTGGCGGCGGCGGCGGTGGGGGGGGTGATGTAGGCTGTGGTAATTGACACGATAGCTGAAGTTAAAACATCAGATTCCACTTCATATCGCTGCGTTTAAATTTAACTTAGCTTTGTGTTCATACAGCCGAGATTCACATCGTAGGAGAAAAGGTGTAGCTGCAGGCGACCTGTAATCAGATTACTGACTCACACACTCACACACACACTCACACACAGATGTGATTGGAAACGGCTCGTCAAAGACAGAGAGGAGAAGAAAGGAGAGAGTGGGAGGAAAAGAAAAGAAACGATTGGCATAGTTTCCTCTTTCTGAGGCTTTTCAACAGCAGCAGCTCTGCTTGTGTCCCTGAACTCCCAGGCCCGTCTCCCTGTCCCCCGTTGGTTTCCCGTGCTCGTGTCTGTTGGCGTGCATGTCTCCCTGTCCCCCGTTGGTTTCCCGTGCTCGTGTCTGTTGGCGTGCATGTCTCCCTGTCCCCCGTTGGTTTCCCGTGCTCGTGTCTGTTGGCGTGCACGTCTCCCTGTCCCCCGTTCGTTTTTCCGTGCTCGTGTCTGTTGGCGTGCATGTCTCCCTGTCCCCCGTTGGTTTCCTGTGCTCGTGTCTGTTGGCGTGCACGTCTCCCTGTCCCCCGTTGGTTTCCCGTGCTCGTGTCTGTTGGCGTGCACGTCTCCCTGTCCCCCGTTCGTTTTTCCGTGCTCGTGTCTGTTGGCGTGCACGTCTCCCTGTCCCCCGTTCGTTTTTCCGTGCTCGTGTCTGTTGGCGTGCACGTCTCCCTGTCCCCCGTTGGTTTCCCGTGCTCGTGTCTGTTGGCGTGCACGTCTCCCTGTCCCCCGTTCGTTTTTCCGTGCTCGTGTCTGTTGGCGTGCACGTCTCCCTGTCCCCCGTTGGTTTCCCGTGCTCGTGTCTGTTGGCGTGCACGTCTCCCTGTCCCCCGTTCGTTTTTCCGTGCTCGTGTCTGTTGGCGTGCATGTCTCCCTGTCCCCCGTTCGTTTTTCCGTGCTCGTGTCTGTTGGCGTGCACGTCTCCCTGTCCCCCGTTCGTTTTTCCGTGCTCGTGTCTGTTGGCGTGCATGTCTCCCTGTCCCCCGTTGGTTTCCCGTGCTCGTGTCTGTTGGCGTGCACGTCTCCCTGTCCCCCGTTCGTTTTTCCGTGCTCGTGTCTGTTGGCGTGCACGTCTCCCTGTCCCCCGTTCGTTTTTCCGTGCTCGTGTCTGTTGGCGTGCACGTCTCCCTGTCCCCCGTTCGTTTTTCCGTGCTCGTGTCTGTTGGCGTGCACGTCTCCCTGTCCCCCGTTGGTTTCCCGTGCTCGTGTCTGTTGGCGTGCACGTCTCCCTGTCCCCCGTTCGTTTTTCCGTGCTCGTGTCTGTTGGCGTGCACGTCTCCCTGTCCCCCGTTGGTTTCCCGTGCTCGTGTCTGTTGGCGTGCACGTCTCCCTGTCCCCCGTTGGTTTCCCGTGCTCGTGTCTGTTGGCGTGCATGTCTCCCTGTCCCCCATTGGTTTCCCGTGCTCGTGTCTGTTGGCGTGCACGTTTCCCTGTCCCCCGTTGGTTTCCCGTGCTCGTGTCTGTTGGCGTGCACGTCTCCCTGTCCCCCGTTGGTTTCCCGTGCTCGTGTCTGTTGGCGTGCACGTCTCCCTGTCCCCCGTTGGTTTCCCGTGCTCGTGTCTGTTGGCGTGCACGTCTCCCTGTCCCCCGTTGGTTTCCCGTGCTCGTGTCTGTTGGCGTGCACGTCTCCCTGTCCCCCGTTGGTTTCCCGTGCTCGTGTCTGTTGGCGTGCACGTCTCCCTGTCCCCCGTTGGTTTCCCGTGCTCGTGTCTGTTGGCGTGCACGTCTCCCTGTCCCCCGTTAGTTTCCCGTCTAGTAGGAAGTGAGACAATGGTGCAGTGCGTGTGAGAGCGTGCTGGTGGGGGCCGTGGGTGATGTATGACTTCTGTCCTGAACGCGGCTCCTGTGGAAAACAACAACTATTGTTTCCAGCGTCCCTCGGGACCCAAACAGAGCAGGAAGCGGAGCGTGGGGCGTTCAGGTGCAGCTCTGGTTTGTGAAGGTCCTGCTGGTGGAGCAGGCCGTGTGCAGCCTGGCTACAGATCAGCAGGTCTACAGCATAGATGTTTGGGATGTAGATAGATGTCTGCAGGTAGACAAGCCTCCATAAAGCCTTAGTGACCAAAGTGATGCAGAGAGAGGAGAGCTTTCAACCCGCTGGTTGATTGAACTTCTTTGCAGTTTTTTGTTAATTCATGGAACAAAACCAATGATAAGATAAACACAATATATGTTTATTAAAACAGTTTTGTCTTCATTTAAAGCAGCAGTTTATCTTTTTTACTGGATGTGTGATTATAGAAGTGAAGCCTTCAGTGATCTAGATGCTTCTGTGTTATCAGAACCATTCTATTCTCTTTATTTCTATGCGCTAATTCACATCAGATCATCTCAGGTCACATAGATCCAGATCAATCAGATCATCCAGTCAGATTAACTTTACTAGATGAGCAAGAAGAGAAAGTTGATATTGACCCTACCGGGCATGCATGCAGTGACAGTGGAGAGGAAAACTCCCCTTTGAACAGGAAGAAACCTCCAGCAGAACTAGAAACAGAGATCCACGGCTGCGCTTCCTGCGTACAGTTACCCAATCGCCTGGCTGCTCAGGCACTGCTGGAGGACGGGTACGTGGGGGGAAGCCTGGATTCTAACTCTGACCAGTTGGAAGGTGCTATGTTTTAAAGTGGAGTTACTGAGATCCACAGATATCCCAGAAAAACAGAACTTAGATCAGACGGAGATAGACTGGACAGCAGCAGAGCGTAGGTCTACAACAACCAGAACTGTATTATGCTTTATAATGGCATTATAGCTTTTAAAACACTAATGTTTTATTTCCAGCTGAGTCCTTTTTATTGTAAGAATTAAACTTGTTTTAAATCTATATCTGGTATTCGAGCATTAAGATAAATTCATTCAGTAAAAATTCCTTGATGAACCAAATGAATCAGCGGCGACTCTTTAATGAAACTGCTGCTGCATCATCAGATAAATGGCGGTTATTTGTGTGGCCTTTAATTCTTCACAGGGATTCCAGTCCAGGAACCAGAGCGGCCATATTTCAGGTTGTGGTTGAGCTCATTTTGTGTCTTCTTGTCCTTTACCTGAGCGCTGAGCGAGTTTAATAGCAGCCCAGGCAGCAGGACATGAAGGATGTGTTTAATGTCAGCCTGTTATAAAGTTCCCGCCTGGCCACGCAGGGAGAGAAAGACTTAATAAAAGTGAAGGAGAGCGTGATGGAGGAGAGGCAGGCTGACCTTTCTGTGGAGCTCAATAATGAACACTCTGATGGCGGCGGCGACGACAGGGGGGGGGCGGCGTTCAACATGTCCACTCGTATGTGAACACAGGTCTGCTACGTGTCCTGCAGCAAAAAAAAAACACATTTCCCATCATGCACCTGCAGCTCCACTAGAACTGAACAACTGACTGAATAACTAACTAAGTTACCGACTGACTGACTACCTAACCAACTGACTAAGTAACTAACTGAATGAGTTACCGACTGACTGATTACCTAACCAACTGACTAAGTAACTAACTGAATGAGTTACCGACTGACTGATTACCTAACCAACTGACTAAGTAACTAACTGAATGAGTTACCGACTGACTGATTACCTAACCAACTGACTAAGTAACTAACTGAATGAGTTACCGACTGACTGACTACCTACCCAACTGACTGACTACCTAACTGAATGCGTAACCGACTGACTAATTACCTAACCAACTGACTAAGTAACTAACTGAATGAGTTACCGACTGACTGACTACCTACCCAACTGACTGACTACCTAACTGAATGCGTAACCGACTGACTGACTACCTACCCAACTGTCTAAGTAACTATCTGAATAAGTTACCGACTGACTAACTACCTAACCAACTGACTAAGTAACTAACTGAATATGTTACCGACTGACTGACTACCTAACTGAATATGTTACCGACTGACTGACTACCTAACCAACTGACTAAGTAACTAACTGAATAAGTTACCGACTGACTAACTACCTAACCAACTGACTAAGTAACTAACTGAATATGTTACCGACTGACTGACTACCTAACCAACTGACTAAGTAACTAACTGAATAAGTTACCGACTGACTGACTACCTAACTGAATATGTTACCGACTGACTGACTACCTAACCAACTGACTAAGTAACTAACTGAATAAGTTACCGACTGACTGACTACCTACCCAACTGACTAAGTAACTATCTGAATAAGTTACCGACTGACTAACTACCTACCCAACTGACTAAGTAACTATCTGAATAAGTTACCGACTGACTGACTACCTACCCAACTGTCTAAGTAACTATCTGAATAAGTTACCGACTGACTGACTACCTACCCAACTGTCTAAGTAACTATCTGAATAAGTTACCGACTGACTGACTACCTACCCAACTGACTAAGTAACTATCTGAATAAGTTAACGACTGACTGACTACCTACCCAACTGTCTAAGTAACTATCTGAATAAGTTACCGACTGACTAACTACCTACCCAACTGTCTAAGTAACTATCTGAATAAGTTACCGACTGACTAACTACCTAACCAACTGACTAAGTAACTAACTGAATATGTTACCGACTGACTGACTACCTAACCAACTGACTAAGTAACTAACTGAATGAGTAACCGACTGACTGACTACCTAACCAACTGACTAAGTAACTAACTGAATGAGTAACCGACTGACTGATTACCTAACCAACTGACTAAGTAACTAACTGAATGAGTAACCGACTGACTAACTACCTAACCAACTGACTAAGTAACTAACTGAATAAGTTACCGACTGACTAACTACCTAACCAACTGACTAAGTAACTAACTGAATATGTTACCGACTGACTGACTCCTAACCAACTGACTAAGTAACTAACTGAATTAGTACTAACTACCTAACCAACTGACTAAGTAACTAACTGAATATGTTACCGACTGACTGACTACCTAACCAACTGACTAAGTAACTAACTGAATGAGTAACCGACTGACTGATTACCTAACCAACTGATTAAGTAACTAACTGAATGAGTAACCGACTGACTGATTACCTAACCAACTGACTAACTACCTAACTGAATATGTTACCGACTGACTAACTACCTAACCAACTGACTAACTACCTAAGTGAATGATTTACCTTCTGACTGACTACCTAACCAACTGACTAAGTAACTAACTGAATGAGTTACCGACTGACTGATTACCTAACCAACTGACTAAGTAACTAACTGAATGAGTTACCGACTGACTGATTACCTAACCAACTGACTAACTACCTAACTGAATATGTTACCGACTGACTAACTACCTAACCAACTGACTAACTACCTAAGTGAATGAGTTACCGACTGACTGACTACCTAACCAACTGACTAATTAACTAACTGAATGAGTTACTGACTGACTGACTACCTAACCAACTGACTAATTAACTAACTGAATGAGTTACCGACTGACTGATTACCTAACCAACTGACTAATTAACTAACTGAATGAGTTACCGACTGACTGATTACCTAACCAACTGACTAATTAACTAACTGAATGAGTTACCGACTGACTGATTACCTAACCAACTGACTAAGTAACTAACTGAATGAGTTACCCACAGACAGAATA